ATGAGGGTGATGAAAGTGAAAATGATGGTGATGGTGGTGATAGAATTCAGAATAAAAGTCACCCTTTATATACTAACTAGTAACTTCTAGCAGACATTTTACATTTATGTTATTTTTTTTTTATTTTTTATTCCTCTGTTTAAAAAATTGTCTTTCCTGTTTTATTTGGACTAGTATTTCTTATCCAACATTTTACAAGTAAACTGTAAATATACAAGTGTTTTCTCCCTTTGGGTAAGTATATCAAAGGGTCTATGTCAAATATAAGGCGACTTTACGTAGATTCTATGGAAGTTTCCAATTTTTTTTTTAATGATTTAGTAAGAAAAAAGGAAATGTTTATCTCCACAAACGTCTTGACTCGGTGACATTAGCTGATTTCTACACATTCCTTATCGAGTGACGAAAGGAAGGACTTAACACCAGGGACTTTTTTTTTCATTTCGCGTCAGTTCCAAACGTTTTTTTTTTTTTTTGTCTTGGTTTTTCTCCTCCGTTGGTAAAAAAAAAAAAAAAAAAAAAAAAATAGTCCAGCGGTCTCTAAGTCTGCCTCCGTCTTTCGGAAGTTAAAGTTAGAAGCTTGAAGACGGAGGGGGGGGGGGGGTAGTTATATTATTAGAACCTCGTACGATTTCTAGAACCTTGGGCAGGATGGCGTTCACTCTGCAGGAATCTCGCCAGGCGCTCGCCGCCCTTGCAAACCCCACCGGAAGAGGAGAGCCAATTGCACGGGAGGAATCTGTGCCCCAGCCCCCTCTCCCCCATCTTCCTTAATATCGGTATCTACGCCCATCTCTGTATTTATCTACTTGTATAGTCACATATATGAATAGACATACATGCATGTAAGCATATATTCATACATATTTCTCTACATATGACTATGGGCCGCACTTTATGGCGACTCGGATCCTTCCTCCATAGCAGGGCGACGCCAGGGCCCGCCAGCGCCACAGCTCGCGCTCGGCCGCCACGCAAGATGCTAACTCCGACTATAACCGCTACTATCTAGCGGATCAAAACACGAGCCTGGCGCGAAATTTCGAAATCAGCTTGCTGACTTTTTCATCATCAGGGTTATCACTTCAAATGCCAATAAAAAATTCTCAGCGTACATCCAATCTTATTAAAAAACGTGTATTCACATGCACTCACGCATTAATACTGAAGCTCATATTCATAATCTTTTTAACATATACAAGGAGGCATATTAACATACAGAGTGTTTGTAATGCCTGCCTTTCCCCCCTTAATCCTTCTCACATGCCAATTTTACCCTTTCTTTCCCTCTCATTGTCATTTCAGTTGTTAAAAGTATTGCTATTTACATGTTCATTTGTAGGAATAATAACCCATTGTTAAATGACTATGTTTATGTGAAAATTGTCACAAATTAATCTTCTCTGACACACATCAAATGCCCTTTCTAACATATTCATGATTCTTGAATGATGTGCATTATATCTATGTTCAGAGCCTCTAACAGGGTTGCTCACATTAGAAATGAGATATGAGGGCACACAGAATATTTTCAAGCCAATATGTTATGTACTGAGTTTGCTCTAATTCTGTGCTGCAGTCAATGCTTGCCAAAAATATACTGTTTTACAGAGGTCATGGACAAGCACCACAAATGATTCTAGATCAGGACCACATGCACACTCTGTCTTTATAATGGCAGTTTCTCCTGTTACATCAGGATAATCAGTAATACCCTGACATTTTTCACTGATTGTTTGCATGGCTCTGCTGTCAGGAAGCAGACCTATCGTTGGAAAGTGCTTGCATCTTACTGTAATATTTCCTTTATAAATATATTGAGAAACTCCTACAATCATTCAAGATTATCTGGTAATTTCAATTGCAGTCCACCTGTAGCCTTTCACCTCAAAGTAATAGAAAGCTATGTGTATGCCCATACAGAAGCATATTCATTTGTTCAATAGGATTGGAACACCCATAAGTATTGAAAGTAATATCAAAGCTATGTGTTTCCCCATACAGAAGCATATACATTTTTCATATATATATATATATATATATATATATATATATATATATATATATATATACGTGTGTGTGTGTGTGTGTGTGTGTGTGTGTGTGTGTGTGTGTGTGTGTGTGTGTGTGTGTGTGTCTGTCTGTATACACACAAACACAAACACACAACACACACACACACACACACACACACACACACACACATATACAGTATATATATATATATATATATATATATATATATATATATATATATATATATATATATATATATATATATATATATACTGTGTTTGTATATATATATATATATATATATATATATATATATATATATATATATATATATATATATATATATATATATGTGTATGTGCATATATATATATATATAGATATATATATTATATACATACACACACACACACACACACACACACACACACACACACACACATATATATATATATATATATATATATATATATATATATATATA